CCCTCTCCTCCAGTCTGCTCTCAGGATTTCGGGCACACATGCATACATGCCTGGTGTATTTTTCCAAGGGCCAGGTCTAAGACTCAAACTGCAAAATTGCCATGCAGGATCCAGCCACCTCAACAACCACAGTGGCGCTGAGACCACTAAATATTCTTCCATCAAATGCCAGAGACTAAAGACCACTGGACACACTGAAAAACTGAGCTGTGTGAGATGACATAATGTGAACACGGTCAGTTAACAGGAAGGACAAACTATAAAGATCACAAATCTTTTGGAATCACTCCCCTCTTTAGCCCAATTCCAAATCCATTTTGCCAAGTTGAAAATGTCCCATAATTAAGGGACCAGCAGAACACATACTGGTTACATCACTGGACTCCCACGTGGTTGACAGTGGTTCGAATCCTGGACCCATCAACTTAAAACTCATGCCGGGTGTGTGTGCATGTGTGCCCAAAATCCCAAGAGAAGAATGGAGAAGAAGATATTGCAGCATGGCCATCTCCCTGGGGGGTGATTTCTCTCTTTCTGGCTCTCTGGTGAGCACACGCACCCTCTGTATTAAAAAATAAATAAATAAATAATTTAAAAAGTGAACATCCCATAATTAAGAAAGACATAGAAGAAATATGTGTGAGGATAGGGGAACTGGAACCCTGGAAACAGCTCCAAAACCTTTGCAGGGGTCTCCTGCTTTGGTCTCTGAAGTGGTCAGTGTGGCCCAGGCTGGGATGGTGAGGGGACAAGTGCTCCGACTCTAGAACTGGTTTCAGATCCTTGATACACTCATTGTTGTATATACATCGTCTTGGCCAATTTGTTGGACATCTCTGAGCCTGAGTTTCCCATCTGTAAAATGAGATTGATAATAAGTAATAGTCCTTTCATCTCAGAGTTGTTGGGAATATTAAGTGAAATAATGTGTGTGAAAAGTCCGGCACACAATAAGTGCTCAATAAACAGTAGGTGTCATTGTTAAGACAGGCTACATCCCCTCCCCTCTTCTTCCGAAGGGGCCTTAGAGACCTCTGTCATGGCTCTTGAGGCAACCATAGTATGTCTTCCCTGCCTTTGCTCTCATCTCCCAGATGTTCCTTATTAGGTGGATGACTAAAAAAAATCATACCCACTTGACAGAGGGTAGCTCACCTCTATTAGAATAACTGAGTAAGATGACAACAGATTAGGTAAATGACAGGAAATGGACAAAAATTAAGATGATCATTCCAGTGTTTATCAGTAGTTTTTAATTTTATAACATGCTTGCAAATGTCTAAACTAAATGGAGGTTGTTATCAGGATGACCATGATTTTCTTTTCTTTCTTTCTTTCTTTCTTTTTCTTTTTCTTTTTTTTTTTTTTTTTTTTTTTTTGAGAAGTTTTTGCTATAGGGCGCGTGCACTCGCCAGAAAGACAGAGAGAGACAGAGAGACAGAAAGTGAGAAATCACCCCCCAGGGGGGGATGGCCACGCTGCAATCCCTTCTCCTCCATCCTCCTCTCTGGATCTTGGGTATGAGTTTAGGCCACCAGGTCTGGGACTCGAATCGTGGTCGACTTCGGGGGAGTCCAGCGACATAGCCATTAATGCCAACTGCTGGCCTAGACTATGATTTTCTTAAGCCAACCAATGACTAACATGTTCTCCTACATTTCATAACTCTCTACAAGTATATAGTGGCAATTCCATCCATCCATCCATCTATCTATCCATCATCCATCCATCTATCCATCCACTCATCCATCCATTTATCCATCCATCTATCCATCTGTTTATTTATCTATATATTTATCCATCTCTCCATCCACCCATCCATACATCCACCTATCCAATTATTCAACAGCTATTTTCTGAGCACCTGCTATTTGCTAGGCAGTGAGCTTATGCATTGAAGATAAACAGTGATTAAAAGAGTTCTTGGAGGCTGGCAGGTGGCGTGGTGGTTAAGGACACTGGACTCCCTCATGGCCGACTATGGTTCAAATCGTGGACCTGGCAGCTTGCTTTCTCACTTTCCGTCTCTCTCTCTCTTGCTCTGTCCCTCACTGGTCAAATTAAAATAAAATAAATGAGTAAATAAATAAAGTTAAATAAAAATTTAAAAAAGAGTTCTTGGAACTTTTAGAGTCTAGTGAAAAATTCATGCCTTTTTGAAAATGAGATTCTTTTAAAAGGAAGATTGATGATCAATAACTTATTTGTATAACTGAGAAGCGAGGATTGAGGTTAGCAAATCAGAGAACACCAGGAGGAAGATAGGACTTCAGGGATCATTTCGTTAAATCTCCTTGTTACACAGGTAAACAGACCCAGGTTTATAGAAGGGGAAGGAAGGTGCTCAGGGTCACCTAAGAAGGTGATGGTGAGAGAGAGAGAGCAGAGAGAGAGATTTCATAGATGACAGAACATCGTTAGAATCGGTTGACAGATTGGTTGAGTAGATATCGGCTAAGTCAAGAAGCTCTGGACTCCTCAGGATGAGTAAGGGAGGAGGAGGAGGGAGAGGAGAAGGAGGAGGAAGAGACTCTACATCACATAGAATTCAAGGAAAAATAGAAAGCTTCCAGGGAACAAAAGACATCCCAGGCCTCCAGTGACAGCCTTGCTGGACAATCCTTTCTCTTGTTCTTCAGGGCAGCCATGCCATCCACACCGGGATGATGCCATCTCCGCCCTATCTCCTTCTCACTCCTTGGTCAGTCTTTCCTTGACTGCTCCCTTTCTGCACCTCTCTCCTTCTCTGAACCTATTCTTTTTTTTAAAAAAAATTATTTATTTATTTATTTATTTCTGAGAGATTGTT